TTCCTCCCAGTTGGTGTGTTCTTTCTAGAACCCATTATTACACAAAAGAAAAATTGATGAAAAAAAAACTGATGATGTTCTTTAATTATCAAAATTATCGAAATTCGACGAATATTCAGAAATACTCGATTAACTGAAAAACTTCAATAATAATAATCATAATAGAATGCATAATGATTTTGACATGGATGCAAGGTGTAGGCACATAAAACAGTTTTTCTTTTTTTTTTGGGCTTCAAAGTTTCATCCAGAAATCCTAATACTTGTCTTCAAACTTGTTCTATGCAAATCCATGGATCTTCAACCTTCTCCCTCACATTGCCAAGATGGATCACCATTTAGTCTAACTCCTTCACACCCGATGTAGTAGGCTACCATGTAGTCCTCTTATCATTAGAAAACAAGACACACGGAACACTAAATAGACAATTCAACACTCTACTCGCAATCAACACTTCTCTTCTATTAATATTCCTTGAAATCCATGCAGAAAACTATCCAATCTCATGCTCTGATTTATAAGAAATTCGGAGATCCCAGAGAAGTTCTCGAACTGGAAACGATCCAGATTCCAGCTGAACCTTCGAAAGGGGAATGTTTAGTACAGTGGCTGGCATCTCCTATCAATCCGCTTGATATTAACCGAGTTCAAGGAAACTATGCTCTTAAAACCAAACCGCCAGTTATTGGAGGAAGTGAAGGGGTTGGAAAAGTCATAAAGGTTTTATTATATTCGTTACATTTCAAAAGTTAGAAACATTTCAGGCTGGCTCTGGTTCTCGTTTCAAGGTTGGTGATCATGTCACAATATTTTCAGCTGAAACTCCATTTTGGACTGAAAACGGTATTGTCGATGATAAAGATCTTGTTCAGCTGGATAATAGAATTCCTCTGGTAACATTCAGTTTTCTGAACCTAATCTCTTACTATCGTTGATGTCAGGATCTTGCCGCAACTCTCATGATTAATCCTCCAACTGCATGGATAATGCTCCAGAAATATGTAAAACTGGAGAAAGGAGATTATGTGATTCAAAACTCTGCCAACTCTGGAGTTGGAAGAAGTGTGATTGAATTGTGCAAAGCTTTTGGTTACAAGAGCATTAACATCGTTAGGAGCAGACCAAATATAGAAGCATTGAAAACGGATTTATGGAGAATTGGAGCGGATCATGTATTCACTGAGGAAGAGTTCAAACAAACATCCAAAGAATTTCTAAAGTCTATTAAATCTCGTCCAAAGTTGGCACTAAATGGGGTTGGAGGAAAAAGTGCTTTACAAATTAGTTCAGTTTTGGAGAGAGGAGGAACTTGTGTTACATATGGTGAGAGACTTGTAAGTTCTAAATTGTTTAAATGATTGAATTTCCAGGTGGTATGTCTAAAAAGGCACACGAATTCACTACATCTGCACTTGTCTTCAATGATATTCAAGTTCGTGGAGTAGCTGTAGGAATGTGGGCAAGAAGAGAAGAGAATCTGGATGAATGGAATTATTGCGTTGAGCAGGTTCAGGTAGAATGAACTTTATCTATTATACTGGTACGAAAATAGCTGTGGATGAGAGACGGCTCTGGGGCAGTTCGCCACCAGAAATTTCGCCACCGTTATAATATGGGAAGGTTTTAGACTACAAACATAGTTTTAAGGTTTTTGAATATGCATTTTCTTTTCTGAAAATTAAAAAAAAACAATTTTTTTTGAAAAAATTAAACTCTTTAAATTTCAAAATGTATTATATCAGAAAATGCATGTTTGAAAGCCCTAGAAGTTGGTTTTGTAGTCTGGAACCTTTCCATACGCTTGTATTATCATAGTGACTGAATGCCCATAACGAAAAAAGACACCGATGGATGTGGCTGAAGGTCCCACAGCGAAAACTACCGTAACCTAAAAATATTGATATTTTCCGGAGTTCTTGTTTCGATTTTCGTACTTTTTCAGTTAATCCTAAAAAAATAGGTTACGGTAGTTAACGGTGGTCAAGCTTCGTCTACGGCCAAAGACGTTTTCTCTTCCACACCTCCAATTTGTTTTGCACCAGAATAATATAACTACTCTAATAAACCGTCAATTTCAAGTCTGTGTATCTTGGTTCCTGTGAAAGATATCAAAAAGTGATCAACTGACACAATATGTTTGATATTACGGTAAAAAATTTATCAGTTGATTACTCTTTTATATCTTTTTCAGGAACCAAGATATAAGAGCTCAAAGTTTACGATTTGAGTTGCCTTCTATCAGAGTGTTTACGATATATCAGTTTCGGTTTCAGAAATTCGCTGTGGAGGGAAAATTAACATCAATCCCAATGGAAAAAGTTAGCTTGGCTGATCACAAGAAAGCGATTCAAAAATCAATGGAAGGCAAAAGCATCAAGCAACTTTTCATTATCAACTCTTCAGCTACTTCCCGATTGTAATTTGATATTTTTTAAAATCATGTCCTATCAATAGATTGTGTATGTAAATAAACTTGATTATTGAGCAACATAGAATTTTAATTTTTCAATAGAATCCATGTACTTTGTCATTAAAAACACGTGGTTCTGATTCTTCAGATGACGTGTTATCAGTTAACGGCTAAGTAGGTCGAATTGAAAAAACGGAGAAGAGACACTGCTCGTATATAAAAAGTGTCTGCTGGAGCAGACGGAGGCAGTGTTTTTTTGATTGTATTGTATATGACCGATATCTTGGCAGATGGCGGTGGTGGTAAAATCGTACAATGACTCATTCTGCCACTTTTTTATGCATCAAAGATCTGTTTTGCCTTTTTTTGTAGGTTTTTTAATCGTTGACAGTGCGCTTTGTTTTTGTAGTAGAGGCATTTCTGTACAAAAAAAACGACGATAAATAGGAGAAAATTTTCTACGATTTCGCTTTCTGTATCGATCCTCAAGTTTTTCGTTTTCGGCGGCGCACACTTAAATGAAGCGTCTGAAAACCTTTTCCTCGATTTTTCTTTGATTTTGATTTCTATATTCGAATTCATCGTTTCAAAAGCTTAAATGAGCCTAAACATGACTAGGTTTCATTATTATTCATTTTTCTTTAATTTTCCGCGGCGGGACCCAAAAAATTTCCGGAAGTTTTCAAACTTCACCAAATCTAGTCGTGTTGGAGTTCATTTTAAACCACTTCACAAGACACATTCAAACACAAAATTTTTATTTTGAAAGACCCAAAACTCAGAAAGTTAAGAAACCAGGATAGTTCCGAATTTTCGAAATTTTAGTTTTTGTCATACTCGGTCTTTTGTAAACTTTTGTTCAAAATTATTGTAATGTTTGGTTCCAGTTCTCTTGTTAAATTTGATTTGAAAACTCCCGTTCCTGAAAAAAAGAGCCTTTTGGGAATACTAAATACCGTAAACCATGTAATAGAAGGGCCCATACACTGTCCAGTTTGATCTGAAATCTCGGCTCGTATAAGAGATTCCAAAAATGTGTCAACTAATGAAATGTTTCTGATATTATGACAAACAATTTATCAGTTGACAACTTTTTTACATCTATTACAAGATCCGAGATGAATTGACTCAAAGTTAAAAGTTACAGGACCCTTCTATTACAGGTTTTGCGGTAGTCATCATTATCAGTCTAGAAACCAAAAAGATCAAACCACTATAGTTTTCGAATTTTTCGAGATAAGATATAGTCTATTCAACCTAATTGTTCGATTTCTCTAACAAAAAAGTTTATTATCACCTTCTCTTTTCTTCTCTTTACATAAATTCCTTTATTCCCAACTTTTACCCCTTCTTATCAATCTAATCAGATTTAATCTAGTGTTTGAGAAAAGAATAGGTGAAAAGAAGAATCACGTGGTATGGAGAGAGCTTTTTTTTTGATAACTGATAACGGAGAATTGAATCAAAAACTGATAAGAGGAAGAAAAAAATCAGCAGTGTCCTGTTTCAACGACAATTTTCCGTTTTCTCCGTTTTTTTCTCTTCATTTTTTATGTGAACACATGGTTTATTTTGATTTATTTTTCAACGATAAAACCCCCTATCACTTTCAGAGACCTCCCAAAAATGACCCCATCAGTTGATGATGAATCTCTTCCACCAAACCATAAAGAATTGATGGCAGAAGCTGTCGCAGAAGCATGTCGAGGAGTAGAGTGTGGAGATGGAGGACCATTTGGAGCCGTAATTGTGGATAATAAGGGGAATGTGGTTGCAAAGGGACACAACATGGTACTGGTCACTAAGGATCCGACTATGCATGCCGAGATGACAGCGATCAGAAATGCTTGCAAGACACTAGGAACATTTGATCTCTCCGGACACACTCTCTACACTTCTTGCTATCCATGTCCGATGTGTATGGGAGCTAGTCTTTGGGCTAGATTTGATGCCATTTATTATGGAGCAACTGCTCAACAGGTTAGTGTGGCTGGTATCAGTTTTATGTTGAGTTCGTAATAGACGAATGAGTAGTTCTGCAGATAACCAGTTACCAAAAAACTGTAAAATTTTGCTTTTTTTTCTAAATGTTCAATTTTCACTTTTGAGTTAGTGAACCTTCAGCTCTATAGACTGGCGCATAATTACCCTGACTAAAGTTTATAGTAGCATAAAATCTGAGTAAAGCGTTGTATTGGGCTCAACTTTGGAGTGCACAATTCAATTAATTCAACTGGCCAAGTTTCAAATTATTTGATCAATCTTGAGGTGAGTTATCGCTTCTCAAAGTTGCTTCATCTCATGAAAATCACAAGGAACATTATGCCGTTTATCTTTGGACATTGATAACAACATCTAGGCTCGAGGAATCACTCTGAAAATTTCCGTAGTTTTTTATCGAACGTAAAAATTAAATTTCTACTAATTTTCGTGCTTCCAAGATATTTATGTCTAAAAATATTCTAAATTTTATCAGTCCGGGTAGTTTTGACCAACCCTGCAACTCAGCTTGCTACTTGAAAATGTTTTTTTTTCTAGGCTGCTGAAATCGGATTTGATGACAAAGCCTTCCACGATTTCCTCAAAGATCCGAAAACGGATGACATCCGAAAGTTGGAACATTTGGCAGCCGACAACTACCTTCTTCCATTCCAAATGTGGTCCAACAAACCAGACAAAACCGAATATTAAAAACTTTTTTCTTTTTTTGAATACAATTTTATAAAATAAAATTACATAATTAAAAAGAAGAAAAAGTTGGACAGGAGAGGTACAGAAATATGTTATGTAGAATATTTCGCATAGAAACAGCATCAGACAATGAAAAAAAAAAGAGAATTTAGGCAACTTTCAAAACCATTTGCTCTGATTTTGTTGCTTTGGGTTCTGATGGATATTGAGATGTACGGTAACGATTTCCGCCGGCTGGTCGTTCCGTTTCAGCCACTTTCATAAAGTTATCGACCTGAAAAATTTTAAAAATAAGGAAGTGAGAGTTAGTTCCTTTAGGAATGACACACTGGCGGAACACAAACGGACAGTGTAGTGTATTTTCCTTTTATTTACCAGATGTGGCTCAAGCTGGTTTACTATTCTATTATAAATGTCTCGAAAAGCTGAAAAAGGTGAACAATTCCAAAAATATCAAACACACTTTTTTCCCAATCTCTCACGTTCTCGAGATTTCAATGAGAATGCGACTTGAGCCTAAAGGGGGAGTCTTTAATAGAAGCTAATTGGAAAAGTTGCCTTTTTTCAAATTCTGACCGACTTACGATGATAGTGATAGGAAGAGCCAAAACGAGTACTCCACAAGCGATTGCTCCAGTTGCCACGAGTTTTCCAGCTGGAAAAATTTCAGAGTTGACAACTGGAAACTATCAAAAAAAGACTTACGGACTGTGATGGGTGTCAAGTCACCGTACCCTGAAAAATGAATCCATCAATTGGGTTATTGAAATGAATACTGTACACTCTAATACTATAATAGAACGTCACGCCTTTCAACTTTGAGCCCATCTATCTCGGTTTCTGTGAAAGATATAAAAATTGTGTCAACTAATAAAATGTTTATAATTTTATGATGAACAATTTATCAGTTAACAGCTTCTTGACATCTTTAGCAGGAACCGAGGAAATTAGGCTCAAAGTTAAAAGTTAGGGACTCTTCTATTACAGGTTTTACAGTATTTTACACTTCACATTACAACATATTCATATCTTACCGACTGTAGTCATGGTTACAATACACCTGAACATTTTGAATTAAAAAATTTCAAATGAAACAGAAAATCAGAATCTCAAAAGTTAGACTCACCACCAACATGCTGCTGGAATAGAATGGAACTTGGATCCTGGTTCATCTTTCTCAAGGAAATAAACCAAAGTGGAGAAGAGATGACTCCAGTCATCACAACCATTGCCATCATTCCCAGTTGACGGAAAGAAGCCTAAATGAATACTTACTACCGTAATTCTTTCTGAAAAATACCTTCAAAGTTTTCCCGAACATTTGCAATCCACTTGAATACCTTCCTAGTTTCAGAACTCGAATGACTCGAAGAACTCGGAGAATTCTGATTACAAGGAATGCTCCCTTGAGATCTCTCAGCTGCTCCGTAGAGATTCCAAAAATCAGAAGAAGCATTTCAATGAGAAACGGAAGAATCGCCAATAAATCAATAATATTCAGAAGCTGACGGAAAGTTCGGCTCCGTTCCGCGCTCACCAACATTTTCAAGCCATATTCAATCGAGAACCAAACAATGCAGACATATTCAATGTATCCCAAAATTGGCATCGGCTCCATTTCCACGTATTCCTCTCCAGTCAGATTATTCTTCTGCTTCGTTGCTACTTGTAGTTCAGGAAGACTTCCCAAAACCAGTCCACTGATTGAAATCAAAACGAAGAATACTGAGAAGACAGCGAAAACTTGCGCTTTTCCAGAACTTGCTGGCTCTTCGATTATATTCCAGATTGTTCTTCGAATCTCACCGAATTTCAGAGTCTTGAACAGGTTTGGTTTGTCTTGCTCTTCATGCTCGTCGTCGTCATCGTCCTGAAATTTTTTGAAACATAAAATTGAGACTTTCTAAATATTTTTACCGGCTGCTGCGCACAACAACATGATGCTAAATACTCGTCAGGTATGATTCTCCAATATTCCAATTCTTCAATAATGTCCACAGGACACAAATTCGTCGGTTGATGGATGATTCCATTGAGGTAAAACTGATAAACAATATGAAATAAAGCTGGTGGCCGTTCGAAATAAAATTCCGAAGTGGCACTAAAGAAGGCGTCCGCATTGGAATCTGCCACTGGTTTGTTGACAAGATCCAGAAGACGTCCTGTAGAATAAAATCAGCTGAGAAGGATCGCCCAGGATATAACTAACCAACACCTCGTTTTCGGATCGTTTCCTTTCGAAGCATAAATCTTTGACCGCCAACATTCAGTTTAATAAATTGCTCACTAATTTCTGTCTCTCCACAGTACATCTGATAATCGGGTTTCTGAATTCCCATCTCCGTCGCGTCATCCGTCTGAATGGTTCGGCGCTCATCTTCCGTGCTTCTGAAAATATCCAGATTTTAGGTCTCGATAAAATTTCAGTATTCAAGTCTAATCTAGCATTTCTGGTTTTCTTCCAAACAAAAAACGCACTGACGTGCATGCCGTCTGTAGTTGATAAAACAGTCGATTGGCAGTTGGAATATGAAAATGATTCCTCTGTGCATTGTGTCGATTCAGACGGGCAATTCCGTGCGACGTAGCCATTGCGGCTCCTTGCATTATTGCCGAGTTCATGGCTACAGGAAAATAATGTGCTTATTTTGGAAAGTTAAGGAATAGGAGAAAGTAGTAAGGATGGGCAAACAAAGGATACGATGGAATGAAGAACACAGTATTTAAAAGTAACTTTTGATACAAATGGACAGGGAAAAACGCCCATTTTGCAGAGATGTTCCTTTTTCTCGGAATCTGGAATTCGGATTTCGGACTCCGGAGAAATAAAAAATTACGGAACTCCGAAACAGAATCCGGAATAAAACTAGTTTCTCGAAATTCGGAATTCGGAATTCGGAACGAAAAAAATCACGGAACCCGAAAACGGACATTTATGAATTCTGTAATAAGAAACTTTTAGGTCACATTCTCACAACATATTTAATGAAAACTTTAAAAAGGTCATTTTGAAATGAAAACGAAATTCCCCATTCACCGAGATCTACGCCGTCTAATTCTTATGAATGCATCGTCGTTTTCTTCCCTATTCTAAAATTCTATTGAATCCCAAAATCAAAAAAAGTCTGAACCCATATGGCTCAATAAGTCGGTTTTGTTTCTCCAAGTAAATGAAATGGAAAAATAACGCGAAAAGTGAGTTGAAAAGTGGGTCAGACATTAAATTGAGTCTACAAAAAGTTGTATTTCGAGAAAGCGATGTAGAATACAAATGAAGAATTGAATATGGGGGTGACTAATGGGTAGAAATCATCTGATAGAATCTTTTTGAAAGAATAGGTTCGACGTCTTCTATAATCCATCATTCATCAGAAGTGAAAAAGGAAGATAAAGTGCAAAACTGGAGAGGAAACTCGTGTTAATCTCCTTCGTCTCCAAGCAGAATAATCAAAAATATTGCAAAAGAAGAATGTGTAAAATGTGGCCGGAAGGTGAGAAGAAGTCATTAACTCCCACTCGATTGTCTCCAAAAGTGTCTCTTATTTTCCTTTATTTTGTGGTCTCTAGAAAAGAATTATAAATACAAAAGTGACCAAAACAATTAACTTATGGTTCTAAACTAAATGTTTAGAATCCAGAAAAATCCAAATTTCCCAAAAGAAGTGCATAGAAACTCTTCTTTTGGGGGAGACTCTCTCCTATTTCCTGTTTTCTTCCATTCAAAACTTCCGGTCATCAACATTGCTCATTCAATTATCTCTTCTTCTCACTGTGCTCTCTATTCTTTTTCAATTTTCTTCTATCGTATTCTAATCATTTTTGTAAAGAAGATGATATTTGGTTAAAGGAGTGATAAAGGGAGATGAGATTTTGTTGGATTAAGGTATATTGTTGAATAGAATAATAGGGATTGTCCTTACAATTGTAATAAGAGAGACAAACCTAGCTAGATTTATTGAAAGGTAAAAGTTGCATAAACACGTCACAAAGATCTCGAGATTCAGCTGTGAACACTCTAATAGAAGGCTACCCAAACCTACAACTTTGAGCCTATATCTTGGTTCCTGTAAAAGATATATAAAAGTGGTAAATTGACAAAATGTTTATCATAATATCGCGAATATTTTTTCAATTGACCACTTTTTGATATCTTTTACAGGAAACAAGATATATGAGTTCAAAATTAAAACATAAAGTGGCCCTCTAATAGATTGTTTACGGTCACTTGAAGGACTTCAACCAAAAATTATTTTTTTTTAATACATCAAAATTAGTACGAAATATTTCAATTCATTTAGCAATGAAGAAAAAATTCAAAAAAGTTAGAAAAATCTCAAAAATCGCTTCAAAAGGCAAAAAATTTGAAACCCATTTCTGGAAACTTCTGGAAGGTTCTCATATTTTTTTTAAAAATTTCCGCCAAAACTGAAAACTCTCCGTCAACGGCCTAGCATTCTGTTTTGGCGGGAATTCAGAAACATAATCAGAACGTTTCACAAGTTTCCAAATGGACAAGAATAGAGATTTCTCTGCTTTCTGGGGCGATTTTTAGAGGTTGTGTTATAATTTTTTGGATTTGAATCGCTCAGCTCATCTGCGTTGAAAACAAAACAACCGAATAATAATTTTCAGAAATCAGAACTAAATTTTCAAAAATTAGAATTAAAGTCAGTCTCAAATTTAGTTTTCAAAAAGCAGAAAAGTCATTTTATTTGTTATGCAAGCCAATGGCTTCTCAATTTTAAACAGATAACGATCATTGAGATTATGAGTAACTATAAAAATGAATTTCAGGTTTCTACTGTCTCCTAGATCCGTATTCCTAAATCCTACTGTACTTTGTAATAGGCGAGGTAATTCCCAAAATTGCATGCAAAACGGAGTCGGAATCAAAATTAAATTCTCACGCCTTCTATATTGGAGACATATGCATGTGATAATGTGCTGGAGACGGAATAAAAAGAAGAAGAGGAAGGAGACTCCAGAGTATGATAAGAAGTCAGACAAGAAAGAAAAAGAAAAGAGGGGATTTGTATGGGGTGTATGGAAAAAAGGGGGAAAAGATGTGGTGTGTTGTTGGTTTTGTGCATAACAAGAAGAAATGACATGAGAAGAAGAAGAATAAGAAGAAAATCTTTCCTCGGATCAGATCCTTCTGTCTCCCTCTCTTTTTGCCCCCGTTTTGTATTCTTTTTGATAATCGAATAAATGAAAAGAAAAAAAATAAATTGAATAAGAATGAATGAAAGAGACTCTGGGGCATCATTCTGAGAAGGGCAAAATGTTTTTCCTTTCCGTTGCCATGAAACAGAATGCTTTTATTCTTCTTTTTATATTAGTCTACATTATTGCTCATCTTCTTCCTTCAGATGAGCAATACTCGTTGTGTTTTGCTGTATTCCTACGGGAATAATTATTTTGGAAAAACGAAACTGCTAGGAAAAAAGAAAATTAAACATGAATTTAAGTTAAATTTTGAAATAGAGTTTTTCCCCTAATGGAAGCCCACCGTCAACTTTGAGCCCATATAGCTCGTTTCCTGTAAAATACATCAAAAAGTGGTAAACTCGCAACATTTTTATTATATTATCAATAATACTTTGTTAGTTAACCAGTTTTTGATATCTTTCACAGAAATTGAGATAAATTGGCTCAACGTTGTAAGTAAGTGGGGCCATTCTATCAGAGAGTTTACGGTAACTTTGGAGCTTTACAAAAGAGATTAGGAATTGATAAATTGTTTTTAAAGTATCTGAAAATATAGAACCCAAATGAAGGTTCATTTTTGTAGTTGAATACTTTTGCGTGTTGCTTTTTTTAAAGGCAGATTTTCTTGTTGAAAGGGTACGGCTCTAAATTCAGTGATAACGATTTCAAGTACGATTTCAAGTACGGTATTTAATTGTGAAAAGACGTTTAAAACAGTTGTCAACTGCAAGGTATTTGATTCAAAAGCAAATTCTAAATTCTAACTTAAAGCCTTTCGTAGAGATATTTTACGGTAAAATCCAAAAATAGAGTTCCACCCACACTGTCCACTTTAAGCACATATATCTCAGTTCCCGCAAAAGATAGAAAAAATTAGTCAATCGATAAAATTTTTGTGGTAATATCACTAAAATTTTATCAGTTGACACATTTTTGATATCTTTCACAGAAATCGAAATAAATTAGGTCAAAATAAATTAAATAAATTAGGAAATAAATAAAGTTAAAAGAAAGTGGTGGTGTACAGATCAGGGATGTGATTTTTCGTGTACGAATCTTACGAATTTTACGGATTTTAGGATTTTTTGGTACTCGTAAAATTTTACGAGTGTCGTAAAATTTAATCCGTAAAACTCGTAAAAACTGGAAAAGTGTTTTTTTCAGAGTTTTTGTTCAGAATTGGCAGTTTTTAGATCTATGATCAAGTTTTTGATTTAATTTTGAGTAGATAGTATTCAAAAAATTCGAATCAAAAATTTTCTTTGTTTTCAAAAAATATTTTCCAATTTTTGAATGTCTTTTCGCCAGTTTAGAATTTTTTAGAAAAAAAATCCAGAAAATTGTTAACACCTACAAAAACATTAAATTCTGCGGTTTGAAATAATTGCACACCATTTCTCAATTGCTTAATGATAAAAATGCAGTTTTTCTTTCATTTGAATCAGTTTTTTACGGATTTTACGGATTTTGCGATTTGACGAGTTTGTAATTCGTAAAATTTTACGTTTTACGAAATTCGTAAAATAAAAATTTTACGCACATCCCTGGTACAGATTTTACGGTATCTTCTAAAAAATTCAAGTAAACAAGTTTCAGAAAATGCTTTGAATCAAAAAGTTTTCACAAAAATAAACTAGCACTCCAAATTTTTTCCAATCAGAAACTCGATGAGCAATACTAAATACTGGTTCGAAATGGCAATCCGCTTGTAGGAAAAGCGGATTTCTAAAGAGATTTTTTCGATCGACATAGATAAGTTGTGACGGTGGGATGTGTGATTCTGAGCGTCATGGTAATGATGTTTCTTTTGCTCAGATAGATGAATGACTCAAGAACGTTATAATTTAATGTACTTCCAGCTGGGAATTGGACTTGAGTCTGTGATATGTTTTTAGAAAAAAAGGTAGCAAGCTAAAAAAAGGTTTTTGAAGATAAGCCAGTGTCAAAAACACTAATTTGAATTCTTGTTTTCAGGTGAAAGAAATTGAATATCAACAATTTATTTTCCGGTTTTCAGATTACTGAAAATTATGGACTGTTAGAAAACAATTATCCTTTGAAGCTTTTGACTGCTTTCTAGGCCCAGAAATCCCAGATTTGGGAACTTCGGCATTACATACGATTTTCCTGAAATCCTAGCATCTTGAAACTTGGTGAATACGTTACTGGATAGAGCGAATAGAATCACCTGCCATTTTCTCTAAAACTCATAAATTCACATCTTGCCTTTTTCGTTTTCTAACAAGTTTGATATTATTTTGTGTATCTCAAAACTTGGAGTTAAATAGAAATGTTATGAAAATAAGAACGGAAAATGAAATGAACACTTTTCTTTTTGATGAGAGAGAAAAGGAGGGAGAGACTTTTCATCTTTAGATCCATTTCCATTTTTTAAAAGAGAATATGAATATGGATGAGCTCTCTTTCTCAATGAAAGCGGCAAAACAAGGATGACATGGAGAGAGAAGAAAAGGAGATTCATACTACGTTTTTCTGGTTAATTGGTGTCTTTTTAGGGTCAATGCACACTTTTTTGGAATGAATGTTCTGTATGTCTAGACGCCTTATCATAATTAGGGTAGGAAAGGAACGGATTCGTTTCGCAGGAGCCGTTTTGATCAGTAACCTTTTTTAAAAATATCTTTGGATTTAGAGTTTTAACTTAAAATTTCTGAAATTCAAAATTCTGAAGTTTGCAACGAAAAAATCAGAATTAATTTTGAGGAATGCTCTCAAAAAGTTGGTTTTTACCTAGTTCAAAACTTTGAGATTGGTTAAAAATCGAAAATATCGTACATCCTCTAATAGAAGCCCACCCGAACCTGCAACTTTGAGCTAACTTATCTCATTTTCTGTAGAAGATATCAAACATGTGTCAACTGATATAGTGTTTTTGATATTATGATAAGCAATTTATCAGTTGACCACTTTTGATATCTTTTACAAGAACCGAGATGTATAGGCTCAAAGTTAGGTGCTTCTCTTACAGGTTTTACGGTGCGTCTTTTCGATCATCTTGAGATTTTTTTGTCAAAAAATTTTTGGTTGTGAAGTTAAAAATGTAGAAAAATGCTATGATTAGCTTTTCAGAGTCTTGCAAAAGTTTTCAATGAAGGTTAACTAACCACAACGGGTCTCTGAAAAATGCGAATCCGAGAATTCAAAAGTTCAAAGAATACTTTCGGTTTGGTAGAAGTTCCAAGATCATTTCCCGACTGACTAACCATGAACTTCTGAATCTTAACAAAATCTCACATGTTCCTTAATACTTACTTGTTTACAAGCCTCTTAGTGATCTCCTTCCACCGATCCTTTTGTTCTCGCTCTTTTTCCCGTCTAGCCGCTTCGATAATTCTTTGCTTCCACATTTATTTTTGAAATATCAGACAAAAATCAGAACAATAGAGAGGGAGTGGCGACTCGGGAAAAGAGAAAGTGCTCCCCTATTCGCTTTTCTCTTTTTCCCATAGCCCCGAAATATAATTGAATGAAGTGGGCGGAGCCTGTTGAGAAGAGGGAGAAGGTGAATTTGTAGGTTAGGAGGGAAAGAAAGTGGAAAAAAGAATATTAACACAAATTGAGTTTTTATTTTTAACACATTCTGGAGGAAATGTGGAAAGAATGACAACATTTTCCTTTTCCAATAACCCATATTAATTGATTTATTCCGAAACACAAAAAACCCTAAAATTCGCCCAATTTTTTGTACATACCTGTCCAAAATGAGCGAGTTTTGTGATACCATATCGATGTAGTCGAAACTTCCATTGTCCTCTGAAACATTCATTTTCCCTTCTTGAGAGAAAAACTTTGTGCTGGCTAACTCGATATGTGCGATTCAGCCCAACATCACTTGAAACAGGTGAAAAAATCAGATTGGTGATATTCAGGTTATCACAAAATTGGATTTTCACAAGAAAAGTGAGTAATCAAATTGCACTTTCAAAAAGGAAAATCTAAAACTCACGACTATGTTTTAGAGGCGAAGATCGATTGAAGTCGTGGTGTCTTTGATAAATAATTTGTCCAATTGTCCAAATTCTATCAGCAGATGGATCGAGGGCTGCTGGAAAATAAACGAAAAAAAATTGGAGATCTTTCTAATACATTCATTTTTTTTTCCTTAATTCCAGATGTACCTTCTTTTTTAGGAATTCTCAAAATGTTCATGTAACGGAGATTTTGGATCATTGTTTTACTGAAAAATCGATAACTTATGATGATGGTTAAAAATTACAAAAGTCAACAAGAAAAGTTTAAAAATATACAGAAGCAACAAAGAGAACTGAATACAAGTTACCGTAAACCATAATTAAGCCACCCAAACCAGAAACTTTGAGCTCAATTATCTCGGTTTCTATAAGAGATATCAAAAATCTGTCAACTGATAAAACGTTGGCCATATTATGATAAACAATTTATTAGCTGACAAATTTTTGATAACTTTCACAGGAATCGAGATAATTGAACTCAAAGTTGGGTGGGCTTCTACTAGAGAAAATGTAGTTTTTCGGAAACTTTACAGAAACTGTCTAGCAGAGGAATGCCATTTTTGGAACAAAAACTGAATCTGGAATAATACATTTTCTCGGAGTCCCAAAAAGGGAATCCGGAATGAAAGCTTTTTTTTTCGGAATCCGGAATCTGGGCATCTCTACTGTCTAGATAGGTTGAGAAATGATTGCAAATAAAACTTCAAAATCCAGACCTGGATCAGAATTGTAATTTTAAGAAGTTTTAGAAAAATTTGAGAATTTAAGTTCGCTTTTAACCTAACTAAGTCAATGGAATTGGTTCGTTATTGTCTATTCAAAATAATCGCGCG